CCAAGAACCATCTAGACCATCCCTGACGGGTGTTTGTCTAACCTGCTCCAACGATGAAGATTTCACAACCTCCCTAGGCAATATATTCCAGTGGTAAACCACCCTGAATGTTAAAGTTTTTCCTAATTTCCAACCTAAACCTGCCTTGGATCTCCAGCCAGAAGCCGAGATCCTATTCAGTCAGATATCTGCCCTCTCTGAACCCAAACTCTGGGCTGTATTTGCACCTCTATTTGCAGGAGAACCTTCTGAAGGATTTCATCCACCCATCCACATCCCCAGCAGGTGCTCCAATCTTTTTCATATAGAAGAAAGATGGCTTCTTGTGGCCATGTACTGACTAACGGGCCCAGGACAAGGGGACTATACAAAATGACTACATGATTCCTGTCCTCCATCTATAACAGTTCAGGGGCAAGAAGAAAACGTGGTTTGGCAGATTCTAGATTATTGTTGGGTCCAGGGAAAATTACACTATCTAGTTGATTGGGATGGGAATGGCCCAGATGAGTGTTCATGGGATCCCACAGACCATATCCATGCCCTGATCCTTCTGCGTGTCTCCCATAACAGTTATCCTGAGAAGCCAGGTACCAAGGCCCCTAGACAGTGCACTCAAAGGGTTGGGAGTGTCAGGAATCAGGGCCTGCAGCAGAGCTAGTCTCTGGGCAGCCTCATCACCACAACTGGCCTGCAGCAGGCTGCCTGATTAACCACACAACCTGACTGGCTGCAGAGGCCAGCAGGCTAGCTTTTAAGCCAGCAGCGATAGCAGCAGCTTGCTGGCTTCTCAATGCTCATGTCCACCATGGTGCCTGCTCTTGCCTTGCCCCCCAACTTGCCTGTGTTCTGCCCCCTGCCTTGAATTCCTCCTTGCCTGATACCTTCCTGCTCCAGTTCCTGACCTCTGGTTTTGACCTTTGGCTCTGGCTCCTGACTACGGACTCTAGCTCGACCCTTAGTTCCGGTACCCAATTTCTGTCTCCTAGTTTTACTGTGGGCTTTGGCTTCTGACAACTGACTACAGCTCTGACCCTGGCCACTAGGCTAGGCCGTGCTCATCCCAGTTGTCTGACACTGAAAAAGATGGTCCTCCAACCCAGAGAGGGTTGATGTCTCTGAGAACTGAATATAGGTGAGAAAGTTGCTTGGTCAAAGATTGTACCTTGCTAGATTAAGTTTTAGACTTTTAGAAAAGTATTTGTTTTATTTCTAATTTTCTAACTTTATTCCTTATACTTGAACTCGCTTAAAACCCTATCTGTGTTTAAATTGTTAATAAACATGTTTTACTATTAATTTAAACCGGGGTAGCCAAACATTTTGGTCTGAGAGACACATCTGGGTGGGGAAATTGTATGCAGGGCCATGAATGTAGGGCTGGGGCAGGGGGGTTGGGTGTGGGAGGGGTGCTGCAGGGGGCTCAAGGCAGGCAGCTAGGGGGCTCAGGGCAGGGGGTTGCGATTCAGGGTGCAGGAGGGGTTCAGGGTGCAGACTCCGGCCAGGCGCCGCTTAACTCAAGCAGCTCCAGGGTGACAGCTGCATGCATCGGGGCTAAGGTAGGTTCCCTGCCTGCCCTGGCCCCGCGCCGCGCTGCTTCTGGAAGTGGCCAGCATGTCCAGAAGTGGCTCCTGGGGGTGGGGTGGGACAGGCAGCTCTGCCACATGCTGCCCTCGCCTGTGGGTACCAACCCTGAAGCTCCCATTGGCCACAGTTCCCCACCAATGGAAGCTGCGAGGGGTGGTGCCTGCAGGCGAGGGCAGCACATGGAGCTCTCTGGCCCCCCTCCCCCAGGGGCCGCAGGAACATGGTGCCGGCTGCTTCCGGGAGCAGCACGGGGCCAGGGCAGGCAGGGAGCCTAGCAGGACCAAGTACTGATTTTGCCCCAGATCCCTAAGTGGCCCCCTCAAGGATTGAACTCACAACCCTGGGTTTAGCAAGCTAATAACCACTGAGCTATCCCTCCCCCTCTTCTCATTGAGCTAGCGTGAGTATGTCTATATGAGCTGGGAATCACACCCTTAACTACAAGTGTAGATGCAGCCTTTGTGCCAAGGACATTAATGAAAATATTAAATAAGATCAGTCCCAAGACTGATCCTTGAGGAACTTCAATAGTAACCTCCCTCCAGCCACTAGTTCACCTTTCAGTATAACCCACTGTCATCTCCTCTTTAGCCAGTTCCTTACCCACCTTACAATTCTTATACTAATCCCCATCTTTTCTAATGCAATTAATTATTGCTCATGTGTTACTATGTCAAATGCTAAACTGGAGTCCAAATATATTAGATGTACTTCATTTCCCTTATCTAAAATATAATTATCTTTTCAAAAAAAATATCAGTTTTGTCTGGCACAATCTACTTTTGGTAAATCCATGTTGTATTCCATCTCCCTTTCTGTTTACTGCCATGAGTTTAAGTATCCTTTCCTTCAAAATTTGTTCTAAAACCTTGAACACTATTGAGGTCAGATTAATGGAGCTGTAGTTGCCTAGTTCATTATTCTCCCGCCTCCCTTAAATATAGGTGCAACATTGGCTATTCACCAGTGATACGGCACCACCAAAATGACAGATCTGACAGAATGGCTTAAAAGGGAAGCATTTAGTATTTCTAGTTACTCCTTTGCTAACTTTGAAGGCTATCACCCTCAGATATATTCCCAAAAGGAAGGAAAGGCTCTGTTCCAGGGGGCTAAGAGCCAGCCAGGCACATACACTGGGCTGGTATTTATCCATATGGACCTTCTCAGAGATGTTGCTTGAATGGAGAGGAATGACCATTTACAAGGGCTGCCCTGGAAAGTAGAGCTTGTCAGAAATTTTCTAATGAAACTTAATTTAATTCAAGAATGTTGATTTGCTGGACTGAAACATTTCCCCGAATGTATTACAGATTCTACTAAACGTCTGCCAGTGTTCCAGGATCCAGCGCTCCTCAGTAGGGTGCCTGCCAGCCCTGGTGTGCTCACTAGCATCAGGTCTCAAGGGACTTGTAGGCTCGCTGCTCCATGGCTCTGGGTCACATCTGCCATGCAGACTGCCCCAGGATCCATGGCTCTGGTGTTGCGGACTTCAGGCTGACCCAGGAGTCAAAGTCCTGGTGTCCCTGACCCTGGGACAGTCTACATGGCAGGACTGCCTCAGACTCCCAGACCCTGGGAGCACCAGCAGTTGTTAAGTGAAACTGAATGTCAAAAATGTCAATTTCACTCAGCAGCTGCCAGTCTGGGGAGCAAATGCCTTTCTGGAAACATCATGAAGCTGCTTCTGATTCCTCCCTCCTCTCCCTTCCCACTCCCACTCCTCTTTTGAAGAGCCCCATGTCTGGCTGTTCTTTCCTCTCTGCATTGCTGTCATCTATCACCCACCCCGCTCCTCCCTGTCAGTCTTCCTCTGATTTTGACTCCTGGCTCTTTCTTCCTCTCCTCACAATCTCCCACACTCATCATCAGTAACTTCAACTTCTATGTTGCTGATCCATCTGACCCCTTAGCCACCCAGCTCCTCAATCTCATTTCTTCATTCAATTTGCAAACCCAGTTCAACTCTTTCACTAATCAAAAGGCCCATTTCACCAAACACTACTCTCCCCATTACTGAGTTCCCCCTCTCTGACCATCCTCCGGTCTCTTTCACCATCCACATCTCTCACACCATAAGGTCTTGCCACCCGGTCATTCTGTACTTTGAGTCCAACAATGCAGATTACTTCTCTTCTCTCAGCCCTCTGTTCCCTTCCTTCAATTGACACGGTCATTGATTCTATCCATTCTCCACCCTTGGCTCTTTTGCCCCTCTCCCACATCACAAGGTCTGCACCCTGCATTCCTGGCTCACTCCCAATATCCACTTCCTCTACTCCTGCTCTAGCACAATTGGGTGTCTCTGGCAGAAATCCTGTGACCAACCTGACTTCCTCCACTTCTCTTTCAGTTCTGCCATCTTCCTGCCTAAAAAACTCTATTTCTCTACCATAATTGAATCCCATGCCTGCAATCCCAGACAAGTATTCATCGCCTTTGACTTCCTCTTCCCTCCACCCTACCTCACTTTCCTTTGCACAGGATGTTAGTAAATTCAACAAATAAATAATTAACAAAATCCCTTGCCTCACCTCACACTGCCCTCCTACCGCTCTCCCCTCTTCTCCTCAGACACTGACATAGAAATTTCTTGTCTGCTGTTCTCTTCCAACCGTTGCAGTGACCCTGTGACAGGGTGTACCAACACTGCACTGGTTAGGCAAGGGTTAAAGAGCTGCTCTGGGCCCCTCACCTCTGCTGGGTATGCTCCCAATGGAAGGAGCATTTAAAAGAGAGTTACTCAACTCAGTCTGGGCTGATGGAGGAGGAGAGCAGTCAGATGCAGCAGCCTCCTGCAGGGAAGCCGCCAGGGCTCCACGCCGCCAGGATTGAGCCTCATAGCTGAGCCGATGGAAGCTCATTGGCTCCGGGAGCCGGGTGATGTTTCGCTGAGGCCAGTGGAAGTGACTCCAGAGACGGATCAGAGGGGAACACAGGAGGGACCCCAACTCCAAGCCATGATGACATAGGAAGGACTGGAACAAGGGTAGGAAGTGACCCAGGGAGCGCACTTAGGGGTATCAGGCCCTGAGCAAAGACCACTGCACTGGAGTGTAAGTATGATGAAGTTGGGGTACATATTGCTTTTGGTAGCTATCGGCGATGGAGGTGAAAGCCAAATGGAGCACTGCAGCATTACTGACAATGTTTAGACAACTTGAAGGTAGAAAGGAGTGCACAAATCTTTCCCCTTAACTTCTTATTTCCATGATTTTAAGGTTTGGGGGATGGATGAGGCATGGTCCTTCCCAGGTCTTAAATGTGTGTCATTAAATGGAGTCACTTTTATGCTGGGTCATTTGGCCATTTTTGAGCTATGAAAACCCGGGGGGGAGGGGGGGAAATCAATGTTTTAAAAAAAGATTAAAAAATAATAAATTACACAGGCATTTTTAGAGCTCAGATAACACTCACCCAGGTGGCCGCTTGCATAGTCCTGAGGAATCTTCATTCAAGTCTTCAGTTAGAAACGTACAGGTGTCTAGATAAACTGACTCCAGTTTACAGCAATTCTTTATACAGAATTGAAGAACAATTTGATCCATTTTGGTAAAGATACGATGAAGTAATTTAAGTTCGGTTAAATGATGCATTGCACTCTGAACAAATTCTGTTTCTCCAATTTCATACAAACAGTGAAAATATTCAAAATACAAAATCGTCGTGTCCTCATCAAAAGGCAACTTATCATATTTGAACAATGACAAAGAGAGTTTTTCTTTAACCTGTGTTAGTAAATTATTTTTAATTTTGGGTGCAATTTTGCAGCTAAGTTTTTTCTCCATTTCCTCCATTCTCTTTTTATTTAAGAGACCAAACAGGAATCGTACTGTTAACATTAAATCATTCCTAGATTTTTCACACTTTTCAAACAATTTTTCCACAGGTTGTATAGCAGTTTCTGAATTTTCCACTGTTTCTTCTTTCTCCAACACATAAAACAAAGCTGCAAAAAACTCTTGAAAACTCAAGTGAATGAAGGTGTAAACACACTCACAGTCAATGCCTTTTTGAAAGATGTTCTCATTCAGAAAGAGGAAATCAGGTTTATCTAATCCGTGTTTCTTGACATCTTCTTCTACAAACAGTATATTCTTCCTCCAGATTCCGTCTGCAGCCAAGGAGCAAAGTCCCTTTAAGTTACCTTGTACCTGTTGCTTTGAAGTGCTGCTGTGACCCTTTAATAAACTGTCAAGATAATGCATGTACACTCCAGTGATTGTACTGGAAGTTTGTGCAAGATCTTCACCTGCTTCCATCTGTTGTTTCAGAACCGTGCAGATGATCCAACACACAAGGGGAACAAAGCACATGGTGAAGAGCATTTCATTGTCTTTTACAAAGTTAAAGGCTTTTCTTGCTTGTTCTTCATTCCCAAAGAACTTGTAGAAATATTCTTCTCTCTCATTTTCAGAAAACCCCAGGATCTCTGCATAACGTTCATCTTTCAAACACTGCCCAAGTTTCTCCAGGGCAATTGGTCTTGTAGTAATTATTAAGTAAGATTTGAGAAGCACTTCTTTCCTAAATAAACTGCTCAGTATGATTTCCACTGGCTGCTTCTCACAGGGATCAGAGCACTGATTACTTGTTGATTGATTAAAGGAAAATCTCAGTTCATCAAAACCATCAATTATGAACAGGAGTTTTTCTGGAGTCATCAGAATCTCTTTCCTTGGTGCATTTTGATCAGGACAATTTTCTAAAATTAAATCTTCAACACTTCTCTGCTCGCTGATAAAGTTAATTTCCCTACAATTTATGTAGAAAACATAATCAAACCTGCTCTGATACAGTTCTTCATTTGCCCAGTCCAACATGATCTTTTTTGCTGTCAGTGTTTTTCCAATCCCTGCAGCTCCCTGCAGCACAACAATTTGTGGTGATTGTCCATTTCCATCAGATTCAAATAAATCACCTATGGTGATAGGACTAGCGTGCTTAGTCAGGATTTCTGCATGTCTCCGTCCCAGGGCCATTATTTCATGTTCTCTCTGCTTTTTGTGACGATGTTCATTTACAATGATCAGCTTTGTGTATCTGCTGTTTAGCTTCACATTCTCACCAAGACGAGAGTTCATGTCTTTTATTGTGGTGTATTTGTTTTTTATATGTTCTCTGTACTTCACCCTGTAAGCTAAGTTAGTGACAAGAAGCATTAAATATTATTGTAATCTTACAATAAAGCTATTTTAAAAATAATACTGGTACTGTACATTTATAATGCGCCTTTCATCATAAAGTGTCCCCCACATAAATTAACTATGGTCTCAGTCCTTACTCACATCAGTGATCCCACTGAAGTCAGTCATGTGTAGGCTCAGACCTTCTATGTGCACATATATTATATATATAAATAAATACAAGAATCACTTAATCAGTTACTGAAATGCAACCACCTCTATGGTAAAACCTGTCTGGTGTTTAACAGTGCACAATGGCACTCTGTAACAAAGTAGGGCATGAAGTGATGGAGAATGACAGGTATAACTGAAACAGCAATGGGATTTAAGTGCAAAGAATATAACTAAAGTATAACCTAAAATTGGTCCAGGGCCCAAGGGTTTAAAAAAGTGCCATAGCACCTTCAGTGACCACAAATGTAGATTCTAGTTATTTCGCCTCATTTAGAAAATGGCATCCCTAGCAGGAGAGTGTCTTCCAGCATTATGCTGCTGCACTGGGTCAGTACTGCCTGAGACAAGAGCTCCACCTCCTCACCAGCACCATATTCTGTAGCACCTGATTCTTTCCTCGAGATCTCCCCATTCATTTCCTCATCCCCCATCCAGCACCTGTGTGATCTGATGAGACTGCACTCTGAGGTGTTACTTACTATTTCTACTAGTAAACCGAATGTCTGCCTGATCTAACCTAATGCTGGTAATCACTGGTAATTAGGCAATGCAATTCCCTATTGGAATGTCACATACCATTTGCTGATGTTTCAGGAGTTTGCTGGGGGCCCAAAGCTGAAAGAGAAATTTCATATGAATGTCAGTGTAACAACAATCACAGAGTGTCACGCAGTTCAGGACATTGGTACAAGTCATTCATTCAGGGTTCTCTGCAGTAATGAGCTCCCTAGAAAACCCACGGCTGAGGCAGGCAGAGAGAATTTCTTTGGAGACACTAGTTCAGTGACCTGTTCAAAATGGCCATCAGAAGCAATATTCTCTTTTTTTTTAAACCACTAGAGTAGCCACTTACGGTATGTCTACATAACAAAGCAAGCCTGGACTCAAGTCTAACCCTTCTTGTGCCACGTACCAATTGTGCTAACCTAGCACTAAGATCTAGGGTCCCAGGACCCTACAGGGCTGGAGGGTCTGAGTCCATGTTAAGCTGGGACCTAGGATCCAAGCCCTATTGCTTTCCTGTGTGCACATAGCCCTGGCTTGATTGGGTCCTGGAAGCCCTCTGGGTGTATCCCAGAGATCCTGGTGGCAGAGGAGCAGCACTGCAGGCAGCCAGAAGCACCATTCCTGCCTGGCCAAACACGATCCCTGTTCCTGCTCCTCTCACAGGGGCAACAGCTCCTGCTCTGCCTCCTCCTCGCTGCTGCACAGAGCTTCCCCGAACCAAGGGGCAAAGCCGCCAGGCGGGAGGCAGCTCCCAACCACTGGGATGTTGGGAGTCATCCCTCTCCTGGCCATGCTGACCCAGGAGCCCTGCTGCTCCACCTCCCTGCATGGCAGCCGCTTGTTACCTACTCCACTCTCTGGCCCTTGCCTCAGCCCCTCGGGGCTGCATATGCAGGTGTGCCTGGGCTGCATGCACTGCCAGGGGAGTGAGTGGGAGTCAGAAACAAAAATTCCCCCACAGCCTCCTTCAGTGATGGCAGCTCCAGTTCCTCCTTGCTGCATGGCAGTTGCTTGTTCCCACTGTGCTCTCTGGCCCTTGCTCTCGGGCCCTCTGGGGCCCCATGTCCCACAGCCTCCTTGTAACAGCATGGCACCCAACTCTCACAAGTGCCCCTTCTGGTCGGGTGCATCTTCAGTTTTTAAATAGCTCCGGCCTTGGTATAAGGCTGTAGCCCCACAGCTTCCTGCCTGGCGGCAATGGATACGTCCTCTCTGGGCCCTTCTGGCCCCAGCTCTCAGCTGGGCCACTAAGTAGATAAGATCCCCTTCCTGGGAGTTATTGCTGTCCAAATTGCTAGTGGCCTAGGTTCACCCACTACTCCAAGTCCCAGCCCAGGGACCCTAAGAATAGCAGCCACATGCTGCTGTGTCCCTATAACTAAGCTGCTTTCAGTTCCCTAGGTCACTTCCCCGCAGCCCCAGCCTTCACCAGAGCTTCACCCTTAGCTCAGGGCTCTTCTATGTTCAGGGCCAGCAGTCAGCCAGGAGCTCTCTCGCTCCCCCAGTCCCTGCTGGCACTGATCTGTCCATGGCGCTGCAGTTCCCTTTGGCCAGCCAGGAGAACCACCTGCATTCCTCTGGCTCCAGCCAGCAACTGCCTGTCTCTTGCTTTGCAGCTTCTTTTTATATAGTCTTCCTGGGCCCTGATTGGCTGCTTACCCTGTAGCCACTCTAGGCTGCTTGAAGGACTCCTCTACTACTCCTTTCCTGGGACAAGAGTGGGAAACTGAGGCCTCCAGCAGGGGGCCTCTAAGCTTAGTCCACCCCGTCACACTCCTACAGTGGTGGCTTTGGCTTCAGCTCCTCCTTGCTGCTGTGAAGAGCTTGCCCAGAGCAGGGAGCAAAGCTGAGAGAGGGACACAGCTCTCAGCTGCCAGGATGTTCAGTCATCCCTCCTCTGGCCGTGCTGAGCCGGGAACTCTGCTGCTCCCTGCAGGGCAGGCACTTGGTCCCACTCTACTCTCTGTTCCTTGCTCCCAGGCCCCTACTGCCCTCCCTGGGGCTGCGTGTGTAGAAATACATGGGGAGCATGCACTGTGACGGCAATGAGTAGGAGCCAGCTCCAAAACTTCCCCATGGATTCCAGGGATCCTTTATCTCTGCCTCCCAGGGTGCGGTGGGGGCAGGGATAAGGGATCCTTGGGGGGTGCTGGACTGCACCGCACCCCTAGTCCTGGGGAAACACTGCAACGCTCCATAGCAGGCAGCAGCCAGCCTGGAGTGGGAATGTGTTTTCCTCTGATACCGTCCTTTTATGTCAAACAGACAAAAATAAATAAAAAAATTAAAAAACAGCTTCATTGAACATACCATTTTAAAAAATTAAGAATTGCAAAGTTTCATGTAATAGTTTGACAGCCCTGGAGACTGACGTCCTAATGATCCACAGAACAGGAGCACATGGGCATTTTCCTACCAATGTGACTCAGTCTAGAGGTGCAGAGCCCAACTCTCAGATTAGATGGCAGTTCAGTATAAAGCCTTCACAAACTGCCGTTATTCTACTGAGACAGCCACCAAAGGTGCTAATTATGCAGTTGATGTGCTCATGTGCTCCTTATGGGCAGCTGAATCCCATCGACAGCACCATCACAGTTAAGAAATAGGGTGGGCATTAGATTTTTCCCACAATTCAACATATTCGCAGGGCTAGAGTGTTGACACTGGGATGGATGGGTGAGGGCGGGCGGGCACCAGGCACTCTGGGATAGGGTTACTTTGACTCAGGTCTGTGCACTGCAGTGTGGAGGCTAGAACCCTACGTTGAAGCACAGGTCTGACAATCCTTAACCTAGGGTTAAAATGCAATGTAGATGCTCAAACCCAGGGTTCCCTGCCATGGGTCAGCTGACTCAAGTCCCACTAATCCTAGGCTAACGTTTCTATGTAGACATACCCATCGTGTCTTTCTTTATGATAGATGAGCACTGAGATTTGGTAATGTAAAGCCCTATATTAGAGCTGAGTATTATTATAACAACAAACAATCTGAAAGGGTTGAGAGCAAACCATCAAAGAACAAAACAAAAAAGGTTAACAGCCATAAAAATGTCAGTACTGCTGCATTTAGCCATCCCCGGTTGTGACAGGGGTCTCACTGCAAGCCCAGAAAAGTGGTGTGGAAGCTTTCTCAGCCCTATAATTAAAGGAGCAGATATTTTGAAGATATCGTCTCACAACTGTATATCAGAAGCTTGCATTGAACAAAAAACACTTTACACACTCAAGCCTTCTTTATATATAATACAGCAGGACAGATTTTTTTTTTAAATAAACCTTTCCCCCACACACACAGGTAAGCAACTCAGGAGGGTAAACGTATTATGATACTTCCTAAAACTTATTTTGGGGCTGTCACATGGCATGAGGAATTTAATCCCCAAATAATATTTTATAGAATTAATAAACACCTGAAAACAGGGAGCCTGATTCTCCACTGCCCTGCACCTTGTGTAGCCATTTATATCTGTGCAAAGTGCACCCACAGCATCAGTCTTGGTATGGCCCATTTGTGCCTCTTTGATGATGCAGGAGGGCGATATAGCCATCGTAAGCAGCCTCCTGGGGATTTCCACTGTGTGGGGCCATCCTTGGGGAGAGGGACAGGGAAGGCCAATGTAACCAGCAGTACCCACTGCACCTTGTGGAGACCAGCGTAGGAGCTGTGTTGGGGGCATGGCTGGGGAAAGAGTGTGTGTGTTGCCAGCTGCCTGAATGGATTCTTATGGCTCCACTGCCAGAATGGGCTATTGTAAAACCACCTTCGTCTTACTGCCATTAGCTGCACTGAGTGCTGCTCTCACACAGCTGAGGATTGAGCCCAGTGAGTGCAAAGGGGTTACAAAAAGCTCCCAAATCAGAAATCTCCACTCAGTTTATAGTGACTGTAGCATTGGACATGCACTGAGTGCTCATTTGACACAGAGATTAATGGCTACACGAAGTATAAAGCAGTTTAGAATCAGGCCCATTAGTGTGCTCCTAACAACACATCATCCTGGAATGTTGTGTGGCTAACACAATACTATTTCTGGATGTGATAGAATTTTCATCCTTAGCCCCTGTTTTAAGAACATAAGAATGGCCATACTGGGTCAGACCAAAGGTCCATCAAGCCCAGTATCCTGTCTTCTGACAGTGGCCAATGGCAGGTGCCCCAAAGGGAATGAACAGACAGGTTATCATTAAGTGATCCATGCCCTGTCACCCAATCCCAGCTTCTCGCAAACAGAGGCTAGGGACACCATTCCTGACCATCCTGGCTAATAGCCATTGATGAACCTATCTTCCATGAATCTATCTAGCTCGCTTTTGAACCCCGGTTATAGTTTTGGACTTCACAACACCCTCTGGCAAGGAGTTCCAGAGGTTGACAGTGCACTGCGTGAAAAAATACTTTCTTGTGTTTGTTTTAAATCTGCTACCTATTAATTTCATTTGGTGGCCCCTTGTTCTTGTATTATGAGAAGGAGTAAATAACACTTCCTTATTCTCTAGGCCACTCATGATTTTATAGACCTCTATCATATCCCCCCTTATTTGCCTCTTTTCCAAGCTGAAAAGTCCCAGTCTTATTAATCTCTCCTCATATGGAAGCTGTTCTATACCCCTAATTATTTTTGTTGCCCTTTTCTGAACTTTTCCAATTCCAATAAATCTTTTTTGCGATGGGGCGACCACATCTGCACACAGCATTCAAGGTGTGGGTGTACCATGGATTTATATAGAGGCAACATGATATTTTCTGTCTTATTATCTATCCCTTTCTTGATGATTCCCAACATTCTGATCACTTTTTTGACTGCCGCTGCACATTTTCAGGTGCTTAAGGAGAAGTTTTTGAACAGTAACTGGGGGTTGTTCAAGAGTGTTGCCCCTGCATATTCTAATTTGATTCCCGCAAAGGAACTGTGCTACGAACTTCCAAAATCCTCTAAAGAGCATTGTTCACTGGGACCACTCCTTTCTCTCCCTCCCCTCATGCAGGGTTCCTAGGGCATAAAGTGGTGATTGTCCCCCCACTGCTCTTCCACTAATTCAGGAATACGTAACCTCAGACTCTAAAGAAGCGAGGTGTGTGGGGAGTGAGATTTTGTAGAGGG